TTGATAAATAGTGCTCCTATTTTGCAATAAAAACGAATTATTTATCAAAAAGTAATCAAGAACTATCACCTAGAGGGTATCCTGCGACACACTTACGCTGTAAGGCTCAAGCTGTAAGAGAAAATTCCAATTAGTAGAGAAATTAATTTGAAAAATTACCTTGACGTTTCGATAGCTATTTTTATTTTTTATTTTATTTTTATTATTTATTCTATCAAGCATTTCGGTTTTCGATTTCCAAAAACATTGCATTTATGCACCAGATTTTGGTAAACAATAGCTCCATTCAAAAAGTACACAACTTTGCCTAAGCAACTGTAAATAATATTCAGCCAATACAAACATATGGAGTAATCGATATTTTCAGATGAAAAAATCGCTCTGGCAAATTTTATCAAAATGGAAATATTGTGAATTGGTTTTCTGACCGCTGAAAAATTGCACAATAAAAAAACTAAGTATAACTTGCACATTAAAGGTGATTCAAAATTAGCGTCATGTCTGCGCACGTGTTGTCTGAATGCAGTTGAGGAGAACGCAATTTTTTTTAATTCTCAGTGAAAACGGAGCCATTTGCAAAAAATCAGATCAGAAGTAAGCAACAATGTTGCTACTTCGTATCTGCAAATGATGTTTCATTCATGATCATAAGTAAGTGCATTCTGTTTTATGCATTAATGAATGTACACAGAAGAGGTGAAACTAACAGGCAAATAGAAGAAAGGGCTTCATCTCGCTGATGGACTTGTAATGCATCACTCTAATCAGCGGAGAAGGACTGAATCCTTCAAATGTACGTCTTTTATTCATTTCTTCAGAATTACTAATATTTAGATGCAATGGCACTGTTTTATGCTAAATCAGAGGCTTCAGGCAAAAATCGTAATCCTTCGTCAACTGATACCTGTTAAAGTGTTTTACACCGTTTGGAGCTCAAAACAGTCTTAATCTTAATTAATATTTTACTCTTTCAGAACAGATTATTTGCAATAAATAACAGTTGGCTTCGCGCATCTATCATATAGAGTTTGTAGACAGTTAGACCGACGTAGTCTTCCTAAGAAGGTACACTTTAATTTCGCCAGTCATCCAATATGATCAATTTTTTTACTGTAAAATCGTGCTTTGTCCAAACAGAAACTTTGCAAAAGTTTAAGCAAGGTTGACATGTTTTAAAAATATTATGTTAAGTTATTGCTTAATAGCAAAGTTGCCTTCAAAAGCTAATATTTTGAGCAATGAATGCATACATTTCTCAACAAATCTTCCACACTCTTCTGCAAGTTAGCGGCAGCAATCTCTTAAAGTGCGCGACGCCAGTTGAATAAAACTTTAAATAAATCAACAATATTCCAACAGAGCTCATATATAAATTAACGCAAATGTTAACGAACTAATCAGAATAAGTGATTACAAATAGGAGAGGTGAGAAAATCAGCGAAACCCTTGTTTAGCTTTATGATAAATTGCTTTGGTCATATGCTTTATGAATCATAATATTTCTGGTGCTTTCAAAATCCTTCGCTACTAACCTAGACGAATTATGACATTTTAGAAACCCAAACATAAATCGTGGAAAGGTGAATAGGAAGTTATGACCCGATGGGTTTTCCTGAACCTAAGATGGACATTTTCGGGCTATTTGTCATGTGGGACATAAAATCGGTTTATTTATTAGTCGTAATATTCCGATCCATGAAATATTGGCACTTCAGCTACAGGAACAAATTCTAAATCGCTATCGTTAATAGCTATAGTAATAGAATCACATTCGGTTGCGCCTATAAATTTTGATTGGTTACAGATTTAAAAAACCGTAAAGGCGATATTCAGTTCTTGCATCAACTATGTATTCATAATCTCTTTCATCAACTTTCGATACTCACCAGACTTTCCGTTGATATCTTTAGCTTTAAGATTGCGCGCTTTGAGCAAGGTAAGTGTGAGGGTGCTGTTGCTGGGGTGATAGCAAAGTGATGTAAGAAGTTCACCACATTTGTCTTTAGCTGGCGGTTTTAAAGCTTTCCAAAATGATGGCTTTTCGCTAAGGTCAACCTGAAAATTAAACATTCGCATTATACTTCACATATGGTCTTCAAAATAAGGACGTTTAGATGTGACCCTAACAATATATTTGTTACCTCATTATCACTTCAATGAAAACACAGCTATTAAGAGCCGAAACTGAAAATATTTGAATGCCAATTGCAATACGCAATCATAAATATGAAATTCCTTCTAGTTTGAATAGAATAAAACTAAATCCGAACAAAAGCTTTTTGATCAAGTCAATATAGATTCAGGTAGGCAAGTTACTCCATTAGGTAGCAACTCCATAGAGCTAAATGAGAAAAAAGCGAATTGTTTAACACTGGAAAGCTTTAATCCTCTGTTCAGCAGCATATAAAATGCATGCATAAACCTCTAAATAAATTAATGCCTACTATTCTATTACACGTGCTTAAATTTCATCATAATGCAGTATTATTGAGCAACAGTGGTATTTTTATGAGCTGATTGCATAAATTTTGCAGCAAAATGCACAGTCCAATTTTCAAGCTGCACATTGTGGAACAAAGTTGAAAATGTGAACGTTTTGATTCCGAGAAGATTGAAAAATTTAATTGAAATTATACTATATTAAAATAACGAATTGTTAAAAATTTATTGCAATTGGTACGATTATTATTAGATTAAAAAGAAAACAAGATGCTTTTATTAACAGCTTTTCCAGAATATCGAGGGGGTCTTTACTAAATCTCTCTAGGAAGTTGGTGGTTTCATTGCCAAAAAATAGAGCGCATATTCATCTTCAAGATGATTAAAACGATTTTACTCTCTGACGCTTTGTCTATGAAAAGATGTTTAATTTGTGAGAACAATGTAAAAATACAAGATTTAGGAATTCTTGTTGCGCAAGTTATTGAGCTAAACTTTGAGTCAAATTTTGAGAAAACATGAAACTCCAAAACGATTTATTTTGAAATGCCGCATTTTAAAATATTTATATTACTTTATCCCGATAAAAATTAGAATGGCAATAAATAATATTCTCAATATTAATAGGCGCAGAATATACGAGAATACGAAATTTACATTGAAAAATGTTCATACAAATACTAAATATTCTTGGTATTATCTGACATTTTGTCCACCTTTGTGTCTTTGAACCAACGTGTTTTCAAACATAAATTCATAGAATCATCTTTCATGCTTTCAGTCTAAGAATCCTACAATACATTTTTGTGAAGTTCTGATGAATTGTTCTGTATATTTACATAGTTAATATCTGCAGTTCTGATCGAGTTTCTAAGTTATAATTATCTAAGATGGGATTTATAAACATTACAACATGTAGTTCTAGTTATAACGTTATTACATTCTGATGAATTCAACAGACCATCTTATATATCAAAAATATTGATTATCATGGGGTTAAACACTTGTGAAGTTAATCCAATATTGTCACTTTGCTAGATATTAAAATAATATTACCTGGCACAGTGGTAAAAAGACTTCCCCAATTGAATCATCTCGTGAAAACCGATCGTAATCAAAGACGTGTAGATGCAAAACCCTAGACTGCAACTTTTGGATGGGAAATCCTTCGAAATAGAAGGTCTCGTTCCACCTGGGATTGAGGGTTCGTCTCTTAATTTTCGTTTCTAATCGGTGCTTTTTATCGGGGAGTAATGTCACTCTTACATAGGGATCACTTGTGCCTGATAGATCTTTGGCCGGCAGGTCTTTACCCTGCAATAAAAAGTAAACAATTATCAGTGAATATTGGACACATTATACATATTTTTTTAAATAAAACTATGCGTTCGTAAACCGAACTTAACATATAATTAATTAATTGGCGATAATTATTCTAGATCAAACTAATATCACTTTGAAGTACTAAGTAACTATTCACATTTAACAAAAACATGAGGCCGATTATTAATTCAAGAAATTCATAAACAGGACTGTTTTTGCGGCAAAAATGGGTCAATAAGATCTCAGAAAATCTTGAATTTTTTAGTACGCCTTTGATATGTGACTAAATGATCCAGTTTGCAGGTGCTTATTTACTCAAATTGATCGTGTTATCAGTAAACAATTTCACTAGTGTTCAACTATCATTTACAAAACAAGTTTTATACATTAAGTAGAGGAGTTTAACTCTTTACAAATATTCGGTGGTAACAGAAGTCCAATAATTTTATGAGCAGTATCAATCACTAGTCGGTCACTAATTTTACGGAAAATAGTTGTGCCGAAGTTCTTCAATAGTTTTCCTGGCACACGCAAGATTTGTGAGATTGCAAATTTGAAGCAACACGTTTTTTGCATATAAAACTGCAAATCTTTAAGTGGAGACTGTTTACAAACTTCTTTATAAAAAATGTTGTTTTATCGCATTGCTAACATATTCATAGACAATTTTTATAAACTTCTATAATAGCTGGTTTTCGAATAGTTCTATTTTACTTTACTGGTCCTTTAATACTTTTTAGTTTCCTTTTTTTACTATACTTGTCCCATTGAAAAAGAGCGCGACTGTTTCTAAATTTAGTACCAGTTTAGTCCTGTAAGAGATAAGAAATAATAGGCTCGAAACCTGCGCCGAGATTGAATGCTTATGTCTTAACCAGGAACATTCACTTGTACTTCATATGACTAAAAAACTATTTGCAAACCACAAACTATTTTAAACGGACTTTGTATAAATATCTAAAACCGATAAACACATTTTCGGTATTTCGTCATTAACAAAAATCAATATAAAAGTAGGTTAAAAAATTTACAATGCTAATTCAAGTAGGTATTCAAAATTTGCTTATAAAAGTATTATTGTATGCAGTAAGTATTGTGCGCCGTTGAGGTTTTCAACGCAGATTCCTTTTGCGTAATAGGGATTTCGGATAAAAATTTACAAAAACTGACAAATCTACAATTCTTCTTATGGATAGTTTATTTTGTTGTTTTCGGATTATCCATCTTCCCGGATGCATCCAGGAAAGAAGGCGAACGTTTTTACTCCGCATTCTTTTGGATATTTTACGACGTTAACCCTTGCGGATGTCGCCGAATTGCTAAAATATTGTAAACGAGTTACCAACATATTTTTTGGCGAACCTCTCTCTCTATGCCGATTTTCTCTAAGTTTATTTCACCGAAAATACAGCTGATTAAACTGATCTATATTTCAATTACATTGAAGATATCAATGTTGGTGTTTTCCGTTTTTTTTTCGTCCAGTTTTTATCAATTTTTTGTTTAAAAAAATGTTTGCCGGCCGGTAAAGTAAGTGTTTCTCAAATAAATTATGTTAAAATTAAGTTTTTCTGCCCCTTTATTAAATTATGATTAATAATCCAATGAAGCCAACTTGCTGTTGATTTTTTGTTGTGAAATTTAAGGACCTTGCAACCTGAGTTTTAAAGTATGCAATCAAATTTAAAATATGTGAAAGTAAATGAAGAAGATAGAAGATAAAACTGTTCATTTTAAATTGATGGAATAGATATCCATTTAATCTTTAAACTTATTAACTTAAGTCTCTCTATATTTAAACCATCAGATATGGTCTAAAACTGTAATGATGCTCAAAAAAAATCACACGCGCGTGTTTAATAATATTCATGGAAAGAAACGTGTGATAATTTTTGTTTGAAATGAAATTTGATATACTACTGGCTCTGAATAATTGCAGCCAAATTATATCAAGCCCGTTTAAAAATGTTTTCGAACCATTTCACAAATGGGAATACGCAACTAAACGTTTGTCTTTGTTCTTGCTGCTTAAGCTAGTAGAATAAATGTATTCAATCAAAAGAAAACAAAGCATAGCTGATAAGAAAAATGTTACCGGAAATATAGAAAATTACGATCACGCAATGTAGCTGGTTAATGAAACACTCAGAGAACTTTTGAAATACTAGCATCTGGTTACTTGTTTAGTGTTTCCGGAATTTTTTAAATTATGTTAGAATGAATATGTTCCATCAAATGCATATATAATATAACAGCAAAGTTCACGTTCTTCTTTGTTTTATTTTGTGACGCTTTCATTAGCTTATACGGAGTGGTACATTTCCCACAGAAGAAAGTATTAACGGAGAATGGAACAATAACAAAAATTTGATTATAAATTAAACCAACTATGTTCGAAAAAATGCGCCTTTCAGTAAATACGAGGTGTTTCAGTTGACTGAAAAAAGCCAAACTTAATAAATGCTTTTATGTAAATGAAAGTGATAATTCTTGGGGAAAAATTTGGCCCTAACTTTAATTTTTGTTTGCTAATGCTGGCAACAAATCACTATACATTTTTTTTAGATTGACTGGCGTTGCACACGCGCATATTCATTCATCTCTCATTACGCTATTTATTACTTGTAATATCAATATATTGATATTATGTCGCGCTTTTTTTTAAACGGTGTTAGCTGTATATGGTAATTGTGAGTACAATCCTCAGCGTGGCTTCGTTACTGAGCTTTTCAGTTGCACGAATTTTCACTTTTTTCGACTTTTTCGGGAGAATCACTGTGTAAGAATTACCTACTCTCAAAGTATATAGGGTGATTCAAAATTGGCGCCATTCCTCTGGAGGTGTTGTCTGGCGCTGTTATAGGAGTACAGAAAAAATAGTAAAAGAAATTCATTGTTATTAAAAACTGAGAAACTTCCAAAAAACTATATCAGAAATACGGCAGCAATGTTTTTCAAGAATTTCAGAATACATATAAGAAAAATACGGTTTGTCTTTGAATTTATTGCCACTTTGTCTTTGCCCTTTCTACTAAAAGGCGTTCATAACGCCGGGTCTCAGTTTTAAATAAATCATATATAATTGTGTCCTATGTTTGACAAAATATGTCTATACTGAAGATATTATGGAGCTGTGAATGGAATAAGACATCAGACAAATGACTGCTTTGGCGTTGTTGGCACAGATGTGCTATTTTCATGCAATTTTGCATTATCCCAGTGAAACAGCGTTGAATTTCGTTTTTTAGGACTTTAATCGACGTGGATTTGCTCATTTAAACATGTAATTTTACAAAACTCCAAACAAAAAAGCTAAAAAAATTAGTTAAATTTCATCATCTGGGCGTCCAATGACGATTTCCACATCCAGAACTAACACGACCCAAAAATGACTCGTACAGTAACTCTACAGTTCCCCTGGTCAAAAATTTACGCGCTGTTGAGACACATTGATGGCGCAAAAAAGTCAGCTATCATTTCACAATAACCAACACCATTCACGGTTAATGCTTGACCGATTTCATTTTCGAAGAAAAATCGCCTGGCGATGCCTTCAGTTTACGGCTGACAGCAAAATTACCTCTTTTGGATGCGTTTGCTTCTCAAAATTCACTAGTGGATTTTTGAATCCCTAAATGCGTGAATTTTGTCGAATGACAAAGCCATAAATACTAAAATGCGCTTTGCCTCTGAAGATCAGTTTGCTCAAATTTGTGTATTAAGGTTCCCACAGCAGCTTCATGTGGAACATTCAGATGGCCGCGTCTACGCATTTTGCAAACTGTTTGCAGTCACAGACTTTAATCACGGATGACAATAATTTACAAAGAGAATTCGTTGTTGCATTGCATGACTACATTTGACTCATTCATTTTTAAGAGTTTAAATTATTATAGGAAAGTACTGATTTACAGCTTCCTCTTGTCTACGTGCGAAATACTATAAGAATTAGGCCTCGTCCACATCTTTTGTTATTCTCAATTAAATTTAACCAGAAGAGACGACTATTTCGTGTATGATGACAAAAAATTGTTATTGCTGTTTGTAACAATGACCAAAACAAAACATTACATGACGGAATAAATCCACCTATCAGTTAAGGTGGTTTTTTTTCGATCAGCATAGGTATTCGTTTTCAAATAATAACTATTCAAATAATCTTCCAAAAATATTATAAGTATTAGCAAAATGTGCGACTTATAAGCCTGGTTTTATGGCCCAGAAAGTTTTTACTTCTGTCTCAAAACCGCAGGTTTAGTTTGAATCATTCGGACATGAGGTCCCAATTGAAGAATTACAAAGTGAGAGAACTGCCCCTAAACATTGAAGAAATACTTTACATTTCAGATATAAAGAGAATAACACAACTATGTTTTAGCTCTACTTTTTCGAATAATTTAAAAGTTTATGTATTATTTGACATTCCACCCTCAAAATTGCTTTTATAAAATATTGATGTTTAATAACACAGATAAATTACCGAATCCCTAATACAGCAGGCGTGTTACAAAGATTTAATATACAATTTTAAAATATTAACGGAGATTAATGACGTTTAAAATTTATTATACTTGAGACCACATAGCTTATACGAAACCTTTTTCGGGATAACGACTTACAGATTTCCATATGGTACATGATTTATTTCCCCAAACTTGTATAATATTAAATCAGTCCTATTTTACATATTTGCAGACCAGTAAATTTCCATATTTTATTTTTAATGATGGAAATCGGTACTTAAGTTCAGCACTTTACATTCTAGACAGAAAGAAGCAAAATGTTATAAAAATGTGCAACAAATAGGATTGTGAGTTAACCTGATTAACGCCAATATACATTTAAAATATGTTCATCGAATCCAGTGGAGAGTTATGAAGATAATATAATAATGTTGATAATAGCGCAGTTCCTTTCCTGAATAATCCCCCATGGTCAACTGAAATGTTATTTGATTAATCTCTCGACTTCCAATCTCCTTCAAGGCTAATCCAATCCAAATAGACGTGGTTCAATCGGATTACCAAAGACCAGACCTTGTAAAACTGTAGCCAAAGTCAATTTTTTCGTTCGGATTTCATTGGTAATGCCCATATTTGTGTCAATTTTTGTCTTAATAGCTACCATAAAAACCGAATATACATTGGTCGGGTTAGGTATCGACTATAAAGAAACTTTTTCAAAATATGAATCGGACTTTGTAACAATTGCATTTGACGAAATCGAGTTTTTCAAGTCAGTAACTTCTGCACATTTTAACTTTTTGTCGATATTAGTTAATCAAGCACATATTAAACGCCTCAATAAACTGCATAGAATATATAACCACCCGGTCTGTAGGGTCCTAGATCTTGCATGGATGGAATGTTTTTATTTCTACACTGCTACTTTCTTTATGATGATTCAGATGAACTTCAGAAATGGGTAAAACATATTACAAGAATGTCGAATTTGGTGTGAAAAATTTTCTCAAATCACATCGTCTTGGAGGCAAGCGTTTAAACAAGATTTTTCAGGTTTTCATTCATACGTTTTGAACTACTGATATAAAATTCGTAATAGCAGCATCGGTATTAATATTACATATAGAAGCCCCAAGACTCTCTCTAGATCTTATCTAGTATCTGAAATATTTCATAAATTTCGTGCCAATGCAACTCCGCTCACCAAAATGCGAGTTTTTGTGGCTTACTTTAACAATAGCTGAATGTCGTTAAATCAAGCTATAAAAACTCGCACTGATTTGAGTAAACTAACGTTTGTACAGAAGACGGTCAGAATTCTATTTCAATATCGTTTTCAACATTATGGAAAAATGAGATATCTTTCAAATATAAATTCAATCGCATATACTTAAGCAGAGAACATTTAGCGAAATATTTTACCATCTAAACAAAAAAGTACAGCAAATGCTTAAAGTGAACTCCTCCASCTTCAATAGACTTTCGGGATCGACGAGCTACTGTTAGTAACCATAGCTGTWAATTGAATGGTATTCTATGTTATTTCCACACAAAYGATCGTAAACTTATGAACCAATTCCTGACCGGTCGTTACTACTATTTCACAGACGATTAATGTTAGTTGCACCAACTAAATTAATTCAAGGAATTTAGATCAGGTGAGCGCGGTGTCCAAGTCCACGTCCAAGTCCTKCGCCAGGGAGAAACATATATATATGAGTCGCCGTYCAAACCATCGACGTGGTTTCGTAATGTCCAGGAGTAAGATCTATCCAACTCTTCGTGAAATAAATCTCCATTTAAATGAGACGGAAAAATATGCGACCCACAGATGTTATTACTTAAAATACGTTAAAATACATTTACCCTAAACTATTTGTTGTGAAAAATAACAGCTTTTGCTCTTTTAAGAATTAGACTGTTCATMAAATGTGTAAACAYTGTGGGTTCTATAGAATCGAAAATCCACCTACTAAAATGAAGGCGTTTTTCAGCATCTGCTGGCAGCAAACTTTGYACGASTTGTAAAACATAAACTCTCAGATGATTGTCTTTAAGTAAGCCMTCAGTGTTTTTCTGCAGATGTCTGTGTAGATRTTYGATTGAAATTCCTTTTTTAGTTTTGAGTCAAAATTATACAGTGTGGCACACAAAAYACACTTCTAAKAATGCTGRCTGGTTCAAACTTAAGGCAGATGGTGAGGCCAGTAGTAGTGTTTGCGTTCTGAATTTCACTTAAATTSGAYAATTGGTTKAAAACKTTTATCAGGAAAAACCTRAAAAAATCTAATTTCAACGGCTTTAATCTCCGAATCAATTCGATTTRGGAAACAGTTTTAAATTATGTATAAYATTATTCTGAAKATCTCWRAASTTCATAACTCTACACTTATAKAATGAAAYGATCCGAATGKTTTTTGSGGTTGWCARTATTCATYTTAAAARTGAAGGATCCCAAGCACAAATATGATTTTCATTTATTATTTGTCAACTGAATGCTGGGAGAATTTTATTGAGAATGTTTTTGTATGCCTAATTAAATATCAAAAGCAAGAATAAATGGGATGTCAGGAAGCAAACATTGATATGTGGGAAGAAATTTCGAGCTTTGTTAATTTCAGGCACTCCCAGAACGGGTTTCGCGCCTATTATTTCTCATCCGTTGATCAGCTCCTGACATATTACCATCCAATCGGATCAATCAATTTTTAGAATCAAATTTTGAAAAATGAATTAAATTAATGCCAAAAAATGTTAACTAAAATATGCAATATCTGTACGAAAGGAAACGTATATAAGTATATATTTTAAATGCCGTATGATATATCCAAAGCTTTCAAGGGATGTTTTAAGATCGATTTAATTCACTACATTAAATCGTAAATGGAGTATTTAATACAAAAAGGACTGAATCGGAAAAACGTGAGTTGGGACTAAACTAATACACTTCTGAGCCATTAAACTCACCCAAATAGATTTTATCTAATAAGGGGAAAGAATTTATACGTACGAGTTTTTCAACGCTGAGAGGATATTGCCATTTTATAGCATGAGACTCCAGATGCTAAGCCTTAAAGAAATTAAATTTAAACTTGCACCACTTTTCCTATACCCGAAGCAGAGCTGCAAAAAAAACTGATGAACAGCTGCTCTAAGACACTGAAAAGTGGTTCAAGCAGTCTCTAAAGCAATTTAACAGAGTCGTTTGGATTTAGTCGCTTTAAAATTATTATTTTTACACTACAGTTTTCAGTTTTAAAACATTTTAGATCATAGCTTTTCTAATTGAATGAATACTGACTTACCTGTAAAATTTTAAGAATTAGTGTTGTATTTTGAAAATCGTACTCCAGTGAAAAGTGAATTTGACCCACGTTTTCTGATGGCTCCGAATTGTCAATGTACATATCCACTAATGATATTGAACGGCTCTGAAGAAAGGCCATCTGAAAAATAAAATTAAACACAGTTATTTACAATATTGTTCAAGTACCATAAAGGCATAATATGTGTAGAACATAGATAAGCAACCATTCCGTTTTTTGCTATATCCCAATATACATTTTTATTATTCTGGCGCGGAACGTACACAATCGCCAAAAAACGTGAACAACAAAGTTGGGAAAGCTCGATCCTAAGTGCTTTTGTTTTTTGTTGGGATACTTTTAGATGTAGCGAAAAGTATTGAAATTGGATGAGAGTCCCACTTTTTCAAGGGTTGTTGTTTAAGCTTATGTATATATTTACATAGTGTTACTCAACACTCTGCATCACATGAGCTTTAAGGCAGACCCATTTTTTCAATAAAAACAGTAAAATATTTACTTTTACTGTAAAAATGAAAGCTGTCTTAGATAACTGCCTGGGATGTATTATTTACTTGTTCAGATTTATTACTAGTTAGATTATTGAAAATGGCAAATATTTCAGTTAATTCCGCTGAATATACAAAATTATTATCATCCAACTGTTTCCAGCAGTAAATTCGTTGGTGAGTGTATCATAATAAATATTTCATAAAATCTAACCTAATGTATATAATTACTTGCTCATTTATTATTGTGATAACTGTTCAAATTATTAATTTAGTTATTCCAGAGGTAAAATACAAAACAATAGATGTGAAGAGTTAATCGAAACGATCCCTCGAGATCAAAATCGATTTATAAGTCCCAATATGAGCACTAAAATTTTCACATACAAAACATAGAAGATATTAGAAAATAAAGTACAACTGCATGATTTACTGAAAACTGTGGAGTGTGAAGCATAAACGTTTTTGTGGACCGAGGCATTAGTTCTTGGGCTATGATAAATAATTTATTGCTTTTTTGCAGCTTAAAATTCGCCAATGTTAAGAAGGCGGTTAAACATATAATTATATTTAAAAACATTATTAAACATTTTAGATCATCCTTTATATTCCGGCTAGAAGAGACAGAAATTCATTTATTAACTGGCAGTCAAAATTTGCTCAAAATATTTAGAAAAAACCGACTTTTTAATGCAATAAAATGGAAATAACAATAATAGATAGTATAGATTTGTCATTACGCAAGAGTCCTGAAGTTGATTTTAGACAATAATAAAGAAAAATTAGAGCCAATGATTCAACAACGAAAAACAACGAACAAGTACTTATTTGTAATTAAAAGAATTTAATCTAAAAAAATAAGAAAAATAATCAAAATAAAGTTTCTTGAAAATCAACATTATTTTCAAATTTCAAATTCAATTTTATCAAATATTCGGTAGTCTTAAAATGTTGAACTAATAAATTGGAAAATATTGTATGTTTCTGATACAAATTTGAATTTAAATAGATTTATTTCACTTTAATATTGTGGACTAAAGTAACGCAAATCTTGGAATTCTCTTTACGCGCTGGAACCTAAGTACTGATTTTCACATTCCTTAATAACTTCCATTGCCTACATCATAGTTATCAATTAAATTTAAAAACTAATTTAAAACTTTATTTTGAACTAAAAACTGTTTAGTTTAGGAAAACAACTGACTTCCGATTTTCTCTGGAGGACAAGTTTATAATAAAGAATTATTTTCGTCATACATATCTGTGACCGATTCAGTACAATGAAATTACGTTATCCATCATCCAATGTTATAATTATGATTGGAAGAGGATTTTTTTAAAAATCATGAATGTAAATTTTCAACCCACCGTAAAAGTGTTGATAATAATGTTATTTTACGAGTGGAAATGAAGGTAGCTTCATTATCATTATCAAAAAAATAAAGAGAATTAAATTTGCTTAATATTTTGAAAGTGTATTAATTGGTTTGCTGTCACCACAGAAAAGGAAAGGTAATGCGGATTTCCCATTACGCTAACCAATAAGTTTTCTTGTCGAATACATTGTAGTAATTTGGCCTGTTGCTAAACAAAAAAGTTCACATTATATGTGTGCGCATTAAAGTATCTATGCTTTCTGTTCGAATAATTTCCAACAAAAATGTCTTTTTGGTCGATATGATATAATTTAT